TTTCTCCCCGGGAGTGGGGAGCGGAGACGTAGGACGGAAGGTCCGAACTCCGTGATCGTATCTTGTGTTTGAGTGTGCTTTGGCGTTTATTTATACTTGTGTTTATATTTCTTGTCGCCATTGTCATTAGCTCATTATTTATATGATCCACTATCTAGTTCATATTGTTTACCCATTGTGTTAGTTTTATATCCTTGCATATACATATATCATATTGTATATCTCCTTGATAGGATATATCATCTTGTGTTAGTTTATATATATCCTTGCATATATTTTTTATCATATAGGATATATCTCATTGTTCATCTTGCTTATCCTAGCTCATATAACTTGTTGTATTTCATACTTGCTAGGATAACTTGTTAATTAATTTTAATTGGCATTTAATCGGATTAGATTAGCATAAGACCCTAATCACTCCCCCTCTAGGGTCTAACAGATCAAACACTGACTGCCTAGGCACAGAAGCACAACATTGGCATTCTGAGAGGACAGCATAAATAAGCCGCTCACATTAACATGAATGAGTGGCTTGTTGCACCGATCTTTCTCTCGACAAAAGCTCCCTTAAATCGGAGACTTGGGCAGAATCTCTCACTGAACGTGAGGTTAAAGCTGGAACCCTCTGTCCATCAGTAGACGAGACTAGTTCTTGGTGAACATGAATCTTAAACCCATGTTGATCTTTTTGTACGTGACGTATCATATCGTGTTTTGGAGAAGGGACACGAGAGTCGCGTTTAGCATTTGGAACGCAAGAATTGTGTTTGAGAATGGGAACACAAGTGTCGCATTTTGTTTGTGCAACGCAGGCCTGGGGTCTGCGTCTTGTTGGTAAAACGCTCCCTTCGCGGTTGCGTTCTAATTGAGTAACGCGTCCCACAGGGCTACGTTCTAATTGAATAATGTGCTCCTGAGAGCTGCGTTTTGATTGGATAACGTGCTCCTGAAAGTCGTGTGTTGGAGAATGAACGCTTTCCTGAGGTCCGCTTTTTAATTGAACAACGCGCCATTAAGGGCTGCGTTCAACTAGGCTTTCATGGAGCTCATGCTTGGGGTTCATGAACGTGAGACCTGCATTTCGTAGAAACGGCGAACTCAGGATCGCGTCTTGGCTCACAAACGTGAAGCTCACGTTGATCGAAAGATCGACTTTCTCGGAGTTGTGCTCGTCACATGGATCTTCTCCTTCGTTAAGAGGCATTCTTCTTAGCCTATCTTAAGGCTTGTGAAGCAGCATCACCATCGATATTGATCAGGTTTGGTGCCGCAATGGATCTTTTATGACCCAGCACCCGTTGTGTTAGCCCGGGTATGAAATCTTCAACTCGACTGACGAGTTTGGCTGAAGCTGAGCCTACTCCTGCAGAGGAGAGGCTGTCCGATCAATCTATGCCAAAGGAAAGGCCTTCTTTTGGTGATTTAGCTGCAATTAGAGCTTTAGTCTCCTTAGAGACTTTACGGACCTTGCACATAGTCTTGGGGCTAAGGGATTTGGAGGAGAGTGTCTCCTCATACTTGGCTTGATCAAACTCCACAACAAGGGTTTCGACCGTACTTCCAGTGAGGTTGACATTGGATTACACCACCACTTCTTACTCGGTGAAGCTACTTCCCAGCGGAGTCGCCATCTTTTGTTTGTGGGAAAGTTGAAGAAGAAATAAGAATAAAATTTGTATTAATCTCCCTAACTAATTTAGGAAAAGAATGAATACAATCTCTCACTGTAATCTCTCTGTATCTGACTTAGAAAAAAATTATAATTTCTCTTATCGGTTTCCTGATTTACAAAAGAAGGAAGGGTTCAACGGAGACCCTCCCCTTTGTTTAAAACTGGGTTCTTCTTGGTGTCGATGGGAGATTGATTCTTGTATCCCGTTGACGATCCGAATGCTTCGCCTCGTGGAACTTGGTTGATTCCTCTTGATGAAAAAACTTGCAAGGCAAGTCTGGAACTCTTAACGAGCTTAGAACTCTGAACGACATAAGGAACTCAGAATGAGTTTAAAACTCTATAAAAGAGTTGATTTTTTCTAACCGAAATTATTTTATAGCTAAGAATGAAGAAAAGCTCCAAGAATAGCTCCTAAAGATCGCCGATCTCTTTAGGTGGTTTTTTCGATCTCCAAAAGTTGATCTGCTCAAAGATCTCCCCAAAAAGATTCCGCCCAAAGATCTCCTGTAAATGTTCGATTTAAGCTGATTTTTTAGCTATTCATATGGGATTAAGGGGTGTAACTAACCCTTAAAATCACTCCCTAGTGGGGTGTAATCCCCCTCAAATCGTGGGAAACGGTTTCTGGAACCGTTCAACTCGTGTTTGAACGAGTCAAATGCAAAACTTGCGTTCTGAAACTCTACGTTCTGGACTTAGGACGCAGAGTTGAGCTTTGCATGTTGAGTTGAAAACGCAGTGGTGAGCCCTACGTTTTTGTTTCTTGAAACGCAGAAGTGAGCTCTGCATTTTGTTCTTGGAACGCAGAGGTAAGATTTGCGTTTTGAGTTGAAGAAACCATTGATTTGTAGTCTCTTTAGTTAGAACGTTGCAAAAATTGTAGTCTTCATCTCGGCTCGTAGGAATGTGAGAGTTGTCAGTTATAACTCCTGTTTATGATTGTGAAGGCTGTTGAATCAGAACTTTCATCGGTTGTTGTGAAGGTCATTGAATTATAACCTTCGTTGATTGTCGTGAAAGTCTCTAAATTGTAGCCTTCTGGAAGTCAACGAATTGTAACCTCCATTTTCAGTGCTTGGTAGGGATCAGCCATCTGCAGTAATTTTTAGACAGCCTACAACTGGACAATTACAGAAGACCTTAATGGCATTTTCAGCACGATTAATTCTAGTAACTATGTATATTTGCTCCGTCATTCTATCGAAATTGCAATTTCTAGATAACATGAACATTTTCTAGACCCTCCATCGTATATAGACATATTATAAATTCCAACACTCAGTTTTCTATTGAATAAGCAAATAATCGGTATTCCATTCGCTATTTAACTGAAGAATTAAAATTGATCATATACAAATTAGATTTTTTTTCAATTTTAATAATCATATACAATATTAACTAAACAATATAGAGAAATTTATGAAAAAAATAAGAAATTTATACCTTGATGAAATTTTGGATCTCATCGGCGACGGAGAGTAATAGACGGCGTCGGATTTCAACATCGTCAGGTGATCTTTGGGAAGATCACAATTACGTTTTTTTGGAGGAAATGGGTTTAGAGAAATTTGACGGAGGAAGAGGTGAGTTGGGTGTGGGGGAGAGAGAGATCGGGTTTGGGAGAGAGGGTGATCAGGCTTGGGAGAAAGGGAGATCGGGAGAGAGAGAGAGAGAGAGAGAGGGAGATCGGGAGAGAGAGAGGGAGAACGAGAGAGTGATCGTCCAACTTGAGAACGGTTGTGCCCTTTGGGGCACAACTGGGCATTATATAGGCTGCCAAATCTACGGGACTACTAGTCCCGTAGAGTTGAGGCAGTTATTAGTTCTGCCCAGCAAATCCACGGGACTAGTAGTCCCATGGGTTTGTTGGGCAGAGCCAACAAACTCTCTTCTTAACATACGGGACTACTAGTCCCGTATGTTTTCGATAATTGCTAAACTCCGATTAGTTCACTAAAAACACACGGGACTACTAGTCCCGTATGTTTTTAGCAGTGTGTTTTCTAAAATCGACATCTTTTTGGCCTGTTGGCAAAAAAGGTCGCTTTTGCTAAATAATTAGCAAAATTGTCGATTTTACTAATTATTTAGCAAAAATGGTCTTTTTAAAAAAAAATCCATATATATATATATATATATATATATATATTATATATATATATATATATATATATATATATATTATATATATATAGAGAGAGAGAGAGAGAGAGAGAGAAATAGGTATACTTGGTACCAAGCATAAATTTTGTGCTTGGTAGTGAGGTGTCACATTCCATCCATCATTCAATTGGGGAGACCACATTCAACCTATATGAATGTGGCCCCCCGCCCCCCCCCCATTTGAATGAGTGGAGGATAATATGCCACTCACTACCAAGCACAAATTTTGTGCTTGTACCAAGCATACCATTTCCTTATATATATTATATTATATTATATATATATATATATATATATATATATAATATATATATATATATATATATATATATATATGCAAATTACAAAATTATAAAAATAGGATTAATTGAGGATAGACCACGAGCAGCGTTGTTTTTAACTTCGTACCCTTCTAGTTTTATTTTTTGCAGATACGCTCCTTAACTAAAAATTGAGCAGTGTTGTTTTGAACTCCGTACCCTTCGGTACCGTTTGGCAAATGGTTAAGAGAGGGGTTAAGGAGACTTAACCTCTTCTTAACCTGCCAAACACAACAAATCTATATAAGGGTTAAAGTGAGTTAACCCTCCATAATTTGCCAAACATAAAAAATATAGAAGGGTTAAGTTAACCCCTCTAGAGGGGTTAAAATGAGTTAACCCCTCAAAATGAGGGGTTTACTAATACTCCTATTTAGATAGAATAAGAGTTAACCATTCTAATTATAAAGAAAATAGTCAAAATCATTGTTATTCCCAAACACTAAAACTGATCATAAGGGCTAAAATAAAACTTATTTAACGGGTTAATAATTTAGTCCTTCAGATTATCAAATGGGCTAAGTACATTAATCCTTCTCTTTAACCCCTCTTCATTAACCCTTTGCCAAACGGGGCCTTCTAGTTTAATTTTTTGCAGATAAACTCCTTAACTAAAAATTGCTTACTCTTTAGAGAAAGAGGGGAAAGCCTCTAAAGGATATAAAGAGAGACTAGGCCTCTGTTTCCTAGCTAAGATTCTAGCTACTAGAGTAGTGCAATGAACCAACGCAGCTCTAGAATTAAGGAGGCGTAAACAATACCAAGATTCAACCCTTACTCAATTGATCAGACCAAAAGGAATGGACAATTGGCTCCATGGTGCTCGCAACAGAGGTGTGTAGCATATAACTTACAGAGTATAAGCAGAACGAACAAATACCACTCGTCAGAAGTACAACTTGATCACAAATAACAAATATAACTGCTAGTTTCTCGAATATCATGTATTGAAAACCAAAGATGAAATAAGACTCAATAAGATTATACAGTGCAGCTTTACACTATGCCCTTAAGAAAAATATACAGGCAATTAAGTTTTACTGACATGAGCTCTCTTTTTATCTTATGAAGTCACCTTTTTTGGACTTAAACTAAATATCGCCTTCTCACTTTTTATCATCATCACCTCCAAACTGAGTAGAGTTTCCGTTCCAAAATGTATTCCTGTCTCCAGATTGGAAATCATCTTCATCATGCCTCAGGGTGTGGATATTGCTGCCAAATGGTCTTGATGCTCTTCTGCTTGTTTCTCCAGTATTTTCACCTGCTGACTGACTCGAACTAAATGGACGGTTGGATGTCTCTGCCCCAGAGAAATGACTGCTTTGAAAGGCATGAGCTGGACCTAGAATAAAGAATTTTAAACCTTGTAAACGCAAACCCAAGAAAAGAAATCTCCATGTAATTAAGCAAACCCGTTGGAATTGCAACTGCGGTTATATGCAACTTGGACAATCTCGGGTCAGCTGCAGCTGTTTGTTCGCCGCAACTAATAAATACATTTGCAACTGCAGTTACAAAAAGGACTCTTGTTTTACCTGATGAATAACGACATTTGAGTTTAACTCACAGTTGCAAGTTTTTTAAAATGCACAAGGGTTTAAGTTGTAACTCTGATTGCAAACAACCTTTAAGAGGAGCCCCATAAAACAGCTACCTCAAGAGAAACCCCTGTAATTATAAGTTCAACTGCTACTGCAAATTGTAAACTTTTAAAACAAATTGCAGTTGCATGCAACCAACACCTCTATTGAAATTACAGTTGCAGCAAACCAAACATCCTTGGTTCAACGTTGAAAATACAAATATTACGACGGACATTCCTCATGGTGCAGGGGAATCAGTAAGAAAAGGGTTCAGAGAAATAGCAAGCACAAAGCATGTGAAATTAGATCAAATATTGGGTCGTATTACTATTAATATCATAGGGGACTCACGGTATTGCTGGTAGCCATTATTTGGAGCTGGCTCCGAATTTGACGAGTCAGCACTGCCACCGAGGTAGGAAAATGGATTCATGTAGGATAATACCCTTTTCACAAATCCAAAGTATCCGCCATTATCAGTTTCATTGATCATGCTTGCAGCAGTTTGGCCTTCATGAGCTGCTGGCATGCTCCTCTTCTGAGATCTAATGGCTTGGCGATGGGGGACGACTATTAATGCCTGCCGTGCACCAAATCCCAGCTCAGACAAAACACTAGTCATATCTGCAAAATGAGAGATTATTTAGTAACAATCATATATTTTCCTTTCAAGAAAGATATGGCTCATAGAGAAATAGAGAGAGCATTAAAAAAAGCAATATAAAAAAGAACGTAAACTGCCCGGTAGACATATTTCTCATGTTTAACCCACATTTGGGAACCAAAAGAGAGAAAATCTCTGGAAAGTTCTGAACTGAGAAAGCAGCTTCAAAGATACAACCTCGAGTAGAGAGGGGGGGAAATAATTTAGGGGAAGTAGTTGAACAGAGAAGCATTTTATTGACAAGGTTGATCCAAAGCCTTCATGCAACCATCACACCTTTGTGGGAGAGGAACAAGACTAACACAAACTTTTTAAGATATTTTCAAAGAAACTAAATTAGCTATCAGAGTGACAATGACATCACGTAAAAACATAAAGACTAACCCTCCTTTCTTTTTCAGACCATCTAGATAAGTAAATTAAACCATATATTCTTAGCATAAGAAAATAATGTATGAGTCATTATTATAACTAGTGACAGTTATAAACAATTATTACCCTAGAATAAATCAGACATGAGCATATAAATCATTAAAGAGTCAAATTTAACAAATTATTAAGTATACACATACCATGTTCACTGAATACCTTTCGAGGATAAGGTACAGCTAAATCATATGAACCAGCACCACCACTTTGGTTCTTATCAACATAATTTTTCACTGATCTCAATGTGTCAGTCAACATAAACTTTCTTTGTAAGCTGGCTCCATTTGGCAAACGAATATTAAGAAAGATATCTTCGGACTTTGTAGCATTTAAATACTCAGTTGGTTCAGCAACCTCTTCACTGTTGGCATTTTCCTCCTCCACAATGTCAGAAGTTTGCAAAGAGTTGAGACTATATGCAGTGGTTTTCTCTATAGAGGCTGGGGAAGCCTCAGTGTAGCTTTCATCAGAAGCAAGGGTTTCTTTAGGTGCTGCACAAACATCAATGTCATCGCAAGTCGATGGATTGTACAAATCTCTAGTCACACTAGATAGCACTTCTTCCCTAGTATTACTTTCTAAGATTGTTTGCTCTTCCCTTATAATCTCTCTGTCATCAACAGCGCCTGACCGTGAAGAGGTTTCTGGACCAGGACCTTCATTTTTCTGCTACAAAAGTGCAAGTGTACTTCAGAGGGCTACTTGATGGGTCAATATATAGAATCAAATGTATGAGATAATGCAAGGAAATGGAGCATACATCATCTATTGGTTCAGCAACCACATCCTCAACTGATGGCTTAGAAACATCTGAAGATTTCTCCTCCAAACTTTCTAATGATTTGCCTGCTGATGTTGATGCTGTATCCAATGATGAAGAATTTCCTTGAGCAGCTTCCTGAGGGCTAGAATTTAGAGGTTCAGGTTTATTGGAAGCAATTGCTGCTGTCAAAAGAGTAACAGCTGTTTCCTGTATCATTCGAGAAAGTAGAAAAGGAAGAAAACAAAGTCCATCAGATTCAAAGCCTTACAAGTCAAACACTTAGGAATTTTTCTGTGGCACTCACCAAGAGCAACCAAGCAGTTTTGTGCACTAGCATACCTGAAAATGGACTGTCGCCCAAGCCTTCTCAATACTTCCTACAAAATTTTCCCCGCTGATGTAACCTTCTGAAAAAAGAAAGAAAGAAGAAAGAAATTTAGCAAATAGGTATAATAATGGTTCCACGTCACACTTTATGAGTTGGATCACTGCTCCTACCATGCTGCCATAACATTACACCATTGAACCCAACAGCGGTGATACTTGGAACTGATTTTTGTGGATCTGACCACATGCTGAGTTAAGGCCAATCATAAAAAAAGGGAAAAAGCTTAAAACAAAATTTACAAAAAAATATCAATTCTAATAATAATGAAGCAGTTGTTATGATAGAAAGGCTGTCACAAATAGACATCATTGTTGTACCATTAGTCACTCCCCTTATCCTAATGTCACTTTTTTCACTACTTACTCTAATCTAACGTATGCAATAGTCAAGAGACTCAGGACCAACAAACTAGATAAAACTGACTGCCAAAAGAACCTGCTAAGCTTCAAAAGGAAGTCAAACAAGACCTAATAACAAGATTCACAAAAGGTTTTTATTTTTCCTTTTACTTTGGAAACAAAGGCAACATTTCACATTAGACTTCTACTTAAAGTCAATGTTAAACAGAAAAGACAATTAAATATCGGATGATGAATAAGTTCAGATATATCTCAACTCTCAAGTCGATCCAAGAAAGATAAGGTGATTCACATATCTACAGAAGCCAATGAGTCAATGTCTCAATGACACTCATGCAATCCACTGCTGCTGTTGTAACTTAAAACTAAAATTCACCCTAATTCAGTACTTAAGTTGTTTATGTATGGTGACTTAACCCTCCCCTAAACAATGTTCATGTTATTCCTGTCAGATACGCATGATACTAATTATTGCATAATGCCAATAGAGGAAATTTATGAAGGAGAATCTAGATCTAGATTCCATTGAAGGCCTGAATCAAGTTAATTTAGTTCTCTTGAGAAATAGGTAAGTCAAACAAATACCACTTTCTATAATTTGAAACTTGGACTGCAGTCTTCTAATTAGGGTGCAAATCGGCGTGCTGGTTCATGTTGTTACCCCACCCAGGCCCAACCAACCTAACCACCAGCCAGCCCAAGCCCAACAACCCATCTAAAGAGTTCTAGTTTCTGATCCAATCTGAACAATAGTTAGTACCCAGTAAGGGCAGGATGGATTGGGTTGGATGTGGATCAGGATGGCCAGGTTTGGTAAATAGAGTAAATAAAAACAGTTGGTGTTGTTGGGTCCGTAAATAGGATTAAGCAAATATGAAAACTTTGATCTAAGTATACCCATGAAAAATTACTTTCGAATCATTAAATACATATCTCCAAACTTGGAAGTTAGAAGAATGCTAAACAATATAAACTAAGACGAGTAATACAAAAAGGAAAATCTACCAAAACAATATATAACAAATTTAGTAGATTTGATTTTATTTCGATCTTGTTTGGTTAAGGGCTAACCCAAGCCCAAACCCAACCCAGGTTTAAGGCTTTTAGACCAAGCTCAACATATCTTGGGTGGTCAAACCAGACTTGAAATGCATATATACTTCCCTTATTCACCTTTATTCTCAATTAGGCTTAATTGCTCTTAAATACCCTATCATTTCCCAAACTTCGCCAATTATATACCCTCACTTGTTTTTGGCAGCACTTATATATCCGTTTTAAGAACTTTAGGGCATCACTTGTTTTTCGCAATTATATACCCTATAGTTTCCCAAACTTCGCAATTGTATAATTACTCTGAAATGCATATATATCCGTTTTTAACATTTTCACTTATATACCCTAATGTTTTTAAAATTTGCACTTAACCCCCTAAAGTTCTTAAAACTGGCACTTAAATGTCATAAAGATTTTTAAAACTTGCACTTAAATACCCTCAAGTTTGCATAACTGAGGGTATTTAAGTGCGTGTTTTTAAAACTTTAGGGTGTACACCTGTTTTTGGCAGCACTTATATTTCCGTTTTAAGAACTTTAGGGCATCACTTGTTTTTCGCTATTATATACCCTATCGTTTCCCAAACTTCGCAATTATATAATTGCTCTGAAATGCATATATATTCGTTTTAAACATTTTCATTTATATACCCTCACTTGTCTTTGGCATCATTTATATACCCTAATGTTCTTAAAATTTGCACTTAACCCCCTAAAGTTTTTAAAACTAGCACTTAAATGTCGTAAAGTTTTTTAAAACTTGCACTTAAATACCCTCAAGTTTGCATAACTGAGGGTATTTAAGTGCATATTTTTAAATCTTTAGGGTGTATAAGTGCTGCCAAAACAAGTGAGAGTATATAAGTTTCAAGTTTTAAAAACCTTCAAGGTATATAAGTGCTACTAAAAACAAGTGAGGTATCTAAGGGTAAAGTATGGGAAACTATAAGGTATTAAATTGCAATTAAGCCTTCCCAAATAAACTCTCAAACCCTCCCACCCCTCACCCCCTAAAAACAAGGCAAGGGAAAAAAATCACTCTTCTCCTCTCCCTCAAACTGAGGAACAATTGGTGTCAACGTATGTTAGTATTCAATAATAAGATGAAAAATGTCATGGAAAAACGCTAAGTCTATAACCCAATAAATTCAAGCTTAAAGTGAATAAAAATCGCGGAGGATACATATGGCAGAGAACTGTAGTGCATCAATGCTTCCATGAATGAGATGCAAGAAGATGCAATATCTTGACATGGATTCTGCTACCTGAGAATTTGTAGAACAGGGGAAAAAACAAGTGATCTACGTGACAAATGATATATTAGTATACCATGTAACAAGGATGCGAGAAGATGAGGTAGTATGTATAAGGTGGATGTGGGGTTAGATGTTCTCTTTCTTTATCTTTTCTTTTTTCTTATTTGGTTCTTTTTTTTTTTTGTTGGGAGAGGGAAGGGGTGTTGTGATGTGGTATTGATGGCGATGTTGTGGTTGTTATAAGCTTACATTATTATCCACCAAAGTTGTTCGCTCTAGATGTATTGAATTTTCATCATCACCTGGAAAAAGAGTAACACGTAGTGTAAATCAAACACGCAACTTAACATACAGTGAAATGATACAATAAGAAATTTGTAGAAGATAAGCAATCATAAACAACATCTACAATATAAGGTTCCTGAAATTTAATATTTAGAAGCTGATGGAAGCCATCTTTTTTCTGTCGTCTTCATAAGAGGAAAAAAGTGTAATGATCGTAACGCTAAGAATAAAGATTACGGTAAAGGTAATCAAAGAAAATAACCTAAACCTTGTAGGGGAAGCATTTCATGTAGTTATATGGTTCATTTCATATCATATCCGGCCAATGTTCAGAAGATTGACTGGACCAGCCCATGGTGCATTTTATCGCATGATAGAATACATGCATCACACAAGAGTTTGTGTTTCCAGGACGTGAATAATAATATATTTACATGAAAAGATAAACAAGAAAACTAGAATATATTGGTTGCACTGAAAAATTAGCAGTCACGGCACATTAGGCTTCCAATACAAGTTGCAGATTGTCGAATGGAGTTGCAATAAGCTATATGCCACTGGTTCTCAGGAACTAAATCTTATAAAGCCCAAGTCTACTGTCTTATGACGATGATGCGTTGATGATGTCTCCTCCCTAAGCTTGTTCTAGGAGGATGTTCTGAGGTGTATAAAGAAAACGACGAAGAAAAACTAAACGGTGTATATTTGGTCCATATTCTATTGAGACGTCATGGTTCATATAAAGGTAGTCATCAACATATACATGGAAATTTTAACAGCACGACTATCTTGTTCATAGTTACACAATACGCAGTATGTAGCGGGTCACGGTACGAATTCGGGTATGCAATTCGTTATTTAGAAAAGTTGGATTCGGTATGCAAGTTTGGTTGGTGGTGCATCGTAAATCTTTTTCGGATGCGCTTAAAATTTTCTAAAGTATATAGTGGAAAACTAAAAAGCTAATTATGAATTTTAATATTTTTTTATACAAAATACTTAAATACTTCTTTTTTATGGAGTTCGTTTATTTGTTCTTTTTTTCCAAAGAGCTCGTGTTGGGATCATGGTTTCATTTTACATTTTATTAACATAAGTATTTAGTTACAGTAAAATCATTGGCTCATATATTCTATTGTGCATCACCCTTCACATGATTGCACACGTTGCATTGTGCTCTTGCGCATGTGCACTTAAAGGGACTTTCCACCCAGCATACTTGTAAGTGGTACGCCAATCTTGGGGAACCCGTTCGTGTATCGAAGGGAATCGGTTTGCAATTGTACTGAGAATCAGTTTGCAGGAGCTGTACGACAGTTGGGGGGAGGGGGTTCCAGGGATTCACACAACTATGATCTCCTGAATACAGTAGTCCTAGAAACAATAGTACATAGAACATCCTAGAAAAAATAGTGCATTGAACTCACACGTTCTTGCCCAGAGCTCTATCAAACTAAATGTAACCTTTATCAACGACCATCTGTACTGATTTTTATTTTTTTCCCCATGTATTTTCTCAAATTATACTGGAATACAACAATTAACTAGAAATTGTCCGAAAATATTTCTCCCCCTCCCTCTTCTTCTTCTTCTTCTAATTTTTTTCCGTACACTTTAAAACATCAAAATCAAGCATACTGCATAAAATCACAGACATATAATAAAAGAATTAATTCTTTTACGAAGTGTATGAAATCAGTGCACCTGAAATATAAACCACAAACAGTTTCTTCTGCCTTTGTGCTTCAACAATTGCCTCAGAAACCGAACCCTCGTACGTTAACGAAGCAACAGATCTCTCCATCTAAAAGAATTATATTAAAAAAGAGAAGATCTTGCTGAAGAAAGGAGAAAAATTCAACCCCTTACTCTTCAAAGTCGCAGGAATTCTTAATCGAAATTGAAAAGAAATAGAAAAGAAACGAAATTCAACCTCTTAGTCTTCAAAGTCGTAGGAATTCTTAATCGAGGGTGCGATTTAGGAGCTAGGGTTCCAACTGGCAACGGGGGCTACGTCTGATGAATCCCAAGAGACGGCGACGATCAAGTCATTAGTGTTGCATTGTTGTTACTTGTTAGTGGGTGCTTGGCATTTACTTTTCTATCCGTATCCATCCGGTTTATGGGTCGGATCTAAATAAACGGCATCTAAATAAACCCGTTTATAGCCTACCCCAATAATTATTTGGTTGCACAAGGGCAAGAATAGGATTAGAGCATCTCCAACCCCAAAACCTAAAATAGTAAAGTTTTTACACTAATTTGGTATAATTTTGACACCAAATTACTATTTCATCTTCAACCCATTATACCAAATTTTATACCAAAAAGAATATTTATTTTATGATTCTTATCTTCTAAAGTTTTTATCTATTTAAAATATTTAACAAATTATATATTATATAATTATATAACATATTACATATAATTAATTATAATAATATATTTTATGAATAAAATACAAATATAAAAAAACAAAATCATCAAACCCAGCATCGAATTTCTTCTCCTCGGTTTTGAGTTGAAGGGACCTCCGTTTTGAGAGAAGAAACAAGCCCTAAATCCCCCAATTTCTTCTCCTCCTCTTCAACCTTCTTCCTTTTCTCAAACCCAACAAGATTCTCCTCTTCCCTCTCACCCCCAACAAGCTTCGAAGCCCTCTGAATAAAATCATCAAACACTTGAAACAATGTTGCGCCAAAGCTACAGTGCTGCGCCAAATCTAGCGCAGCACTGTAGCACATCATCAAAATAGCGCTCGGTTAGAGAGGTGTTTGGCGTTGGGTTTGCGTCATTTTGGGGATTTAGCATGGGGTTGGAGATGCTCTTAGGAATCCCATATTTTTTATGGATTCCTAGCTAATCCATAAAAAAATTTAAGATAATTTTATGTTATCATAGAATCCTTTTTTTTCATTTCTATGTTTGTTTCATAACATAAAAAATAGAATCCAACTTTATAGAAACCCTCTAATTCCTTTTTTTTTAGTTTGGTTTGGAATGTGAATAGGATTTGGTCTCATAATAATATAGGGTTTGTGAAGAAACAGAATCCGAAAAAAAAAGAGGGAAAATAGTACAAATGCGTCAGCTTTCTGTCCAAAATCCGTCCAAATCATTAGGATTTGGGTTTCTATAAAATCAACATACTTTTTCAACTTTATAGATTCCGAAATCTATAAATTTTTGGGGAACCAAACTCTATAATAGGATTCATAAAGAATCCTTTATTTATAATTTTGCCATTGTCAGACCCAAATCCTACTCATTTTCTATAAAAATGGTGAAACAAATAGCCCCTAAGAGAATGAGATAATCTCTCAAAACTTGAAAAGAAAAAGGAGAAAAAAAATCTAAATGGAGAAGAGATGTCATCAAACAAGATAATTTATTTTTGGGAAAATTGCTTGGAGCAAGCAATTTTCAAAAAGTTATGCACTCATCACCCTCAACTAGAGTTAAACTCATTTCAGCTCTTTGACTCAAGTTTCCATGTTAAAACACCCCTAGCCTAACATTGTATAAAGTCCATATACTGTATTTTAAAGTATTGCCCAGTTTATCCTTTTGTACCTTTTTGTAGAGTGTCAAATTTTTTTGTCTCATTAGGCAGCCCCTCATTACATTATACAGTAAAAAGTGATGGGTTCAAGAGAATAGAGAAGAATGATATTAATGGCTGTGAGAGAATTTTTAGAGGGAAATGAAAAATTGGAGGGAAACATACTAAGTTCCCTCCAAATAATGTCTCATTTTAAGGTAATATTTTCTTCCCTCATTAGAATCTACTCAACAACCTTCAACAACCTTTAATAACCAAAATGCTCTTAACTCTTTCCTCTTAACTTCTCCAACAATCAAAATAAAAAAATCTTTAATATGTGTGATTTTGCTAAATACCAATGCAACCCTCATTAAAGTCAATTCTACAACAAGTTTAGCTGAATTGAAGATGCATGCTATGGAGAATTTAATAGTATGGTATTAAAGTTTATTGATAAGTTATTCTCTCGAGAAATTTCAACAATGTCTTGTTTAAGATTCTAAAAGATGAAGATATTCTAAACATGATAGATTATCATTGTTCAATAGGGTTAAATATGATAACCATGACTGTTACTAAAAGAGATGAAGAATCCACGCATGTCATAGGGACAGAAATAGGAACAGAAACAGAGTTTAAGTAAGTATTCATAAGATTTTTTTAGATTCTCTATACACGTTATAATAGGAACTGTGATGTTTACGTCTTATATGTGATCTATAGATATTGCACGTGACATATCGACTTTATTTGTGACATATACAAGTTAACAATTATTTGTAATTGCCACATGTGACTTATATGTATGTTATATTCAACTTGCAGTTTTCTTACTGTAAACTCACAGTCATCAGAGCATATCCAGGAATCAGAGAGGATCCCAAATGACAATCCTCAAGGAGAGTATGTATGGATAATGGATGACATAGTAAGTGACTCAATAGGAATCCCGACATGATGGTACGAGGCAATTACTAAAAAATGACATCAATTTAAAAGTGTAAAAGAAGTTAGAATGACTCTTATATACTACTCTATAGCTAAGAAGTTCTCTATAAATATGTTAACAATGAGCCAAAATGCATTCGTGCTAATTACATATCCAGAAAAAAAACAAAATGCCTATGGGTGCTTTACGCTCCACCATTGAGCCATGTGTTAGCCTTTGCTATAAAAAATTAATTCCTTAATATACTTGTAGACAATGTAATAGTACAACTAGTCATTCTAGAGCATCGAGAAGGTGAATTGCGAGTATGCTACAATCAATTATGAAGAGTCATTCATCTATCTCCCCAACTGACATTAGACAGAAATTGCACTCTCAATATGGTTTAAAAGTTAGCTATTCTAAAGTTTGGCGTGCTAAAGAGATAACAAAATGTCATATATTTCGTTGAACCTGGCATTCATATAGTTTACTACCCTGGTTAGTCTATTAATTTGTTACCTTAAATGTGATCCATTAACCTTAAATGTAACATTTCAGAATGCTATGTGACATATAAGTATAATATGTGATGTTTAGACGTTATATGTGACATTTAGGTTTTATATGTGAGCTTTCGACCTTAAATGTGACAATATGATATCATATGTGACATTTTGGTCTTAAATGTGATCTTTAAACCTTATATGTAACATTCACGACTTACATGTGACAATTAAAACTTATTCATCATTTAACAAGTAATATGTACGTTTAATCATCAATTAAAGGTACCAAATAAAGTTGATGGAAACAAACTCAGGTAGTGTCGTCATCATTGAACAAGAAGAAAGGCGATTCAAGCGTTTATTTGCATCCTATAATGCATGCATACATCTCAAGTGATGTAGGTCATTGCTCTTTACATGTGACATTATGCTTTTATATGCGACTCTTGTCTGTTATGTGTGACCTTTACTTGTGGCATGTGATATTACTCTATTGACTATGATTTTTATTTGTATTCTGTAACAATTTGATGTTCCTTGTGACATTTCTCGATTGTATGTGACACATTGTTGTACTTTGTGATAGTGAATTTCTATTTTATACATATGATATTTATTTACATATATAATCATATCAATTTTAATATTGCTGAATCTTTCAACTGTTGGATTTGTGTGGGGAGAACACTTTCTATTTGCTAAAATCTTTGAGGCATCAACTCAAAAATCAGTAGAAGTTAATGATGTGTACGAGTAAACATGTGTATGTGATGCTATTAACTTTATGTGTAGAGATGTGTACCTGTATTGCGATTGGTTCATAACAACTAAAGATTCCAAGAAAAGTTATGAACCCATTCTCTTTCCTATTCCAAATTACGATAAGTCAGATGTCACAAATGAAACAGTTGTCATACTTCCCCCAAGACGACAAAGAGACATGAAAGAAGTAATAATAGATGTACCAACAACCAATCTGAGAATACACGTCCAGTTAAATGCTCAAGGTGTCACACTGAAGGATATAACCGAGCCACATGCACTGAATCTATCCAAGACTAACGTTTTATTAGCAGAATTAAAGCTCTTTTGGGGGTTGTTGTCTATTATATATGACTTTTATCATTTTGTTTGACATTTATGTGTTAAATCTGTTTGTGTGACTTGTTAGTATTAACTGTGATACTTGTAAGCTTTATACCTCCAGATTCTATGTAATATGCTAAAGAAAAGTTTATGGAGTAATCACAAATGCACATTTCATCATTATCACCATAAGTCTCAAAATTTATAAAGAAATTAGTCATATCCAACATAGAATTATGTTGTACGTGTTTGTCTAATGCTTCTACACAATCAATGGGACATCATTATCCCCAAAATATAAAAAATATTCAGGATTATCTACATCTAACTTCAATCCCAGCTTCTTAATTCTCAACCTTCACATATAATTTGAGCAGCAAGTCCTGCTCTTAACATTTCAGACTCCCTTTGTAAAGCTTCAATATTCATCGCCTCATTTCCTTCTAGAATCGCTTTGATGTATAAATATGCATGTATGCCATAATCGTACCTAAATAGAAAAAAATGTAAAGTAATAGTCATATACAATAACAAACAAGATTATGTATCACATTTAATGTGTAAAAGTCACAGGTGATACAAAAACATCACATATAACATCTACGCATCACACAAAATGATGAACTGTCACAAATAATGAGTATAAGTCACACAGAATGTATAAATATCACATAACACCAGCATATATCACTGATAAAAAGTATACGTCATACAAAATGTATAAATATCACATGAGACATGCGTATGTCACCGATAAAGTGTATATGTCACACAGAATGTATAAATATCTTATAACACCAGCATTTATTGTATAAAATAGAGAGTGCCCGTATAGTGCAGGAGTGACTAACGACATTAATTGTCTAATTATAAGTATTCTCTATTTCTCTGGTTTATAAACTTTGGACTTAATTCATTAGACGTAACACATAAAGCCAATACCCCAGAATTTGGGAAACATCCTTAAACAAAAAAGAAGAATTTCAAGCCAAGATACATGAATTTGGAAATGTACACATAAGTACACCTACCACATTTCCTATGCTTATTTATTTCATTAATTTATTATTTATTCATTTATCCTTAAAGTTAGTTTTATTAACATAAATTTCACATGTAAAAGAAACTAGGACTAATGCACCATAGTTGTTGTCCCCTTGATTGATTCCTAACTAGCATTACACGAATTCTCACGGTTGCATGTATGAATGTATGGGAAGAACTATTAGGCCTCTTATTTTGATGATGATTTACAAACCTCGTTATAGGTACTAATTGCTTGTTGAGTGATATAATAAAGGATGTATTTTATCAAGCAATTTAGTACCATAATTGGAGGATGGATGGAACTTGCACCATAACAATAATATCCAAGAAGGTGGAGGCAAGTTGATGAAGAAAAGCTATTTAAAGAGCAACATATACAAGAGGAGCTTCATCAACAAAATTAGCAGTTATCAAGCCTCAAGAGTTATATACATATGTGAGCGATATTTTTATTTTTTACTCTCTCTAGATCATAATGTAGGCAAGAAACAAAATAGATAACATTTGAAGCAATTGGGGTTCACACACACTCTCTCTTTTAAAATCATGTTTTTGACCAAATTTAAAAAAGATAAGCTTTTAGATTTGGGAAATGATTTTTCAAAAATTCCTTGTCTAACATGTCTATATTCATGTTTATAAACATTTCCCTAAATTTTATATTTTTTGGAATTTATTTGATATTTTTAAAAGGGGTTCAAAGTTTATTTTTATTGTTCATAACTGAACATGTGCACGTTATCAGTCGACTGATGAACAGTATCAGTCAACCGATGAAACGCGCTGGAATAGCAAAAAGTTTCTACTCAGTCGACTGATGAACTATCAGTCGATCGATGCAGATTATCAGTCGACTAATAATTTTATCAGTCGACCGATAGCATATGAGCGGCCTGTAATGGTTAGGTCATCAATCGACTGATGAACAGTATCAGTCGACTGATGGCACTGTAACGGCTAGTTTTGATTTTAGCTGATTTTTCAGGATTTTAGATTTTGTTTGGGATTTGGGCTGTTGTTTAGGGTTCCTATATATACCTCTTTTCTCTCTTCACTTCAGTAACTAAGCAAGCAAGAAAATTCTTTGAGTTTGTGTTTATTGTGTGTTTGGAGCTTAAACTCTCATTCTTCTCAATTCCGGATTTACACCTTCAATACTCACAACCTCAAGCTTCATTTGCAATCTTTTAATCCTTGTCATAGGGGTGTTGTAAGAGAGATTTTTTCATCTTATTCTACTGTGTGAAGAGCTTGATCTCGAGGAGATCAAATTGTGTAGTTGTGAGATCTCGGGGGAGATCGTTGTGAAGAAGTTCCAGCTTTCAAACCGGGTGTGTTTAGTGGATTACTATCGGGAGAGGTGGTTGGGGACGTAGGTCGTGAGGGTCGAACCTCATGAACACATTAGCGTGCAATTTGGCTAACTATTCTCTTACTCTCTCTCTTATTTATTGTCATAGTTTTATATTTGTGTCTTGTGTTGCATTAAATTTTATTAAATTTACACATTTATTGTTTGATTACCCTATTCACCCCCTCTAGGATAATTTTATTTAGTATCATAGCAAGGTCTCTATATTTGTTGAGGTTTAATCACCTTAGAGTAAAGATCAAAATGAACTCAAACATATATGTGCATATGCTTGAAGGTCAATCAATTACTAGACCTCCTTTATTTACCAACAATAATTTAGCCTATTGGAAAGCTAGGATGAGAATTTATTTATGATGTATTGATCTTGACATCCTAGAAATAGTAGAGAAGAAATATGTTGAAAAGCCTAGCAAAGATATGGCCGAGAATGAACGGCATTTGGCTAACCTTAATGTTAAAGCCATGAACGCCTTGATTTGCGGACTCACTCCAAATGAGTATAATAGAGTCTTCACGTATGCAATCACACACAAAATTTGGGAGAAACTATGTATCACTCATAAAGGGACTCCTCAAGTCAAGGAGTCCAAAATTAGTAGCCTCATGCATAAATATGAGTTATTTAAAATGCTTCCAAATGAGTCAATTGATGTCATGTTTTGTCGATTTACTAATATTGTTAATGAATTACATGGCCTTGACAAGGTGTTGGAGAACCAAGAGAATAACTAAAAAATTCGTTGCTCTCTAACACCGGTATGAGAGCCCAAAACTATGACTATTGAGGAAGCCAATGATCTTACGACGCTTACACTTGATGGCCTCATTGGCAAACTCAAAGTTCACAAGAAGAAGATCAATGGGAAGGAGGAAGAGCCCCAACAAGAAAATGAAGAGCCTTCTTAAAAGATGAATACTATTGCACTCAAAGGAGCAATTGATTATGACTCCTCCTCCTCGGATAGTGATATTGATGTCTCTAGAGAAGTGGCTTACCTCTCTAGGAGAATATCAAGATTGATAAAAATGAATAAAAATTTTAAAAACCATTCTAACAAATTCCCCTCTCGTGTAGGTAAATGCTTTGAGTCCAATGAACCAGGACTATAGCAAAGGATTGTCCCAAGATAAAAGAGAAATATATAAAGTACAAGAAGTAGAAGGTGGTGTATGCGGGATGAGAGGAATACGAACCAAGCGATTCAGATAGTGACGAAGAAGCCGCCAATATTGCTCTTCATGATCCAAACATATGCTTCATGGCTCATGAAGATGAGGTACAATCCAACTCCGATGATGAATTATTGTATATGCAATGTGAACTAAGAGCCGCTCTTGAGGAATTAAACTTTGAATTTAAAAAGTTGGCAAAAGAACATTCTTCTTCCCAAAAATTGCATAATTCATGTGACTCAAAATTTGAGCAATTACATTTCTCACTAAATAATATCATTGCTTTGAAGGATGAAATAATTAGAGACCTTGATTTTGAAAATAAACAATTAAGATCTTAAATTTAAAAATAAAAAAAATGAAAATGTCATGTTAAAAGTCAACCATGCTTCCACTAGTCCTAATCATCATCAATTTAGAAGAACATGGTATCATAGATCTCAAGCCCCCACCTACAAGAAAGGTTTTATTTGTGCATATTACATGAAATATGGTCATATTTCCACATATTGTAGGATTAGAGATAATATAAATGATTATGGGTTGATATGGGTACCTAAGGGTACCAAAAGTACTAACATTCAAGGACCCAACATTTGGGTACCTAAATTTTCTTCCACTTCTTTACATGTAGGGAATGTCTCGCACAAGACGTAAGGAGATGTGGTATCTTGATAGCGGTTGCTCTCATCACATGATGGGCAAGGATTTATTTGCAACCCTATCAAGGATGTAAGGAGGCAATGTATCCTTTGGCAGAGATGAGAAAGGTAAAATTGTAGGTATTGGTGTTATTGGTAAGAAGCCTTCTCTGATTATTAAAGATGTTTATTTAGTAAAAGGACTTAATCACAATCTTCTTAGCATTAGTCAACTTAGTGACAAAGGCTATGATATTTCTTTTAAACCGGATAAATGTATTGTTAGTCTTAATGACAAAACCATTTTTGTTGCCCTTATAAAAGCTAATGTGTATATTTTTGAGATGAATGAGCTTATAGATCAAGATGTAAAATGTCTTGCCGCGGTGGATGGTGATCCTTGGATTTGACACAAAAGGCTTGGTCATTCTAACATGAAGCTTATTTCCAAGCTATCAAAGAAGAACTTAGTAAGAGGACTACCTACCTTAACCTTTGCCAAAGATTCTCAATGTGAGGAATGTGCCAAAGGTAAACAAATTAAGAGTTCTTTCAAATCCATAAATAAGGTATCCACCACTAAACCTTTACAATTGCTTCATCTTGATTTATTTGGTCCTATGCGTGTTGCCTCATTAGGAGGAAAGAATTATGTATTTGTTATTGTTGATGATTTTTCACGCTTTACATGTGTTATATTTCTTTTAAATAAAGATGAATGTTTTAAAGAATTTTTTTCATCTTGTAAAAAGAATTGAAAATGAAAAAGATTTGAAACTTGTAAATTCAAAATAATTTTTTAGTGATTTTTGTGACCATCATGGTATTACACATACGTTTTTCGTTCCAAAAACACCACAACAAAATGATGTTGTTGAATAGAAAAATCGTACCATACAAGAGATGGCACGTACTATAATTAATGCTTTTGATTTGCTAAAATATTTTTGGGTGAAAACCGTCAATACAGCTTGCTATGTTTTAAATCGTGTTTTAATTAGACCTATTTTCAAGAAAATACCTTATGAACTTTATTTTAGCAAAACTCTAAATATTAGCTATTTTCGGATTTTGGTTGTAAATGTTTTATTTTGAACATAAAAGACCACCATGACAAATTTGATTCAAAGATAGATGTAGGAATATTTTTGGGATATACATCAAGGAGTAAGGCTTATAGAGTTTTCAATAAACGAACACTCGTTGTCGAAGAATCTATAAACGTTATCTTTGATGAAACTAATGTTGGTTTACAAGATTGTGTGCCTAGTAGGGATGATGATGACATTAAAGGTGGAATGGAACTATTGCAAATAAATAACACCTCCTCAACGGTTGCATCAAAGGATGGGGAAGGAGAGCATGAACCAAATCAAGAAGAACTCCCCAAAGCATGGAAGTTTGTACTGGATTATCCCAAAGAGCAAATCATTGGAAGCCCATCTAAAGGTGTCATGACTCGCTCAAGGGCTATGAGCGAGTGTGGTAATGTTGCTTTCTTATCCCAAATTGAACCTAAACGCGTTGATGATGCTTTGAATGATGAATTTTGGGTTTTAGCTATGCATGATGAATTAAATAATTTTTAAAGAAATAATGTTTGGAAACTTATTCCTAGACCTAAAGATTTCCATGTTATTGGAACAAAATGAGTTTTTAGAAATAAACTTAATGAATTTGGCATAGTGACTGGAAATAAAGCTCGTTTAGTTGCCCAATGATACAATCAAGAGGAGGGCATTGGTTATGACAAAATTTTTACACCGGTTGCAAGATTGGAGTTAATTAGAATGTTTTTTGTTTTTGCTAGCTTTAAAAATTTTAAATTATTTCAAATGGATGTTAAAAGTGCTTTCTTGAATGAGTTTATTGAAGAAGAGGTGTATGTTGAACAACCCCCTGGTTTTATTGATTCACTATTTTCTAATCATGTTTACTGGGTACAAAAAGCTTTGTATGGGTTAAAACAAGCTCATAGAGCTTGGTAAGCTCGCCTTTCAAGTTTTCTCATTGATAATGGCTTTTCAAAGGGAAAAATTGATAACACTCTATTTATTAGAAAAAAGAAAAATGATTTTATTTTAGTTCAAATTTATGTTGATGATATTATCTTTGGTACTACTAATGAATTATTGTGCAAGAAATTTTTAAAAGTTATGCAAGAGCATTTTGAGATGAGCATGATGGGAGAGCTTACATTCTTTCTCGGTCTCTAAGTCAAATAAACCAATGATGGTATTTTTGTGTCACAAAACAAATACGCGAGAGAGTTGGTCAAAAAATTCGGCATGTTAAGTTCCAAGCACGCATCAACTCCTATGAAAACCTACATCAAATTGGACAAGGAAGAAAGTGGTGAGAAAGTAGATCAAAAGTTTTATCGAGGTATGATTGATGGTCTACTTTAACTCATCGCTAGTAGATCAGATATTATGTTTAGTGTTTGTGCATGTGCACGTTTTTAAGCTTCTCCTAGAAAATCTCACTTAATTGCGGTTAAAAGAATTATTAAGTATATAAATGATACTATTGAACTTGGTTTGTTTTATCCGAAGAATATAAATTTTGATATTTATGGTTATTGTGATGCCGACTTTGCTTATAAATGATACTATTGAACTTGGTTTGTTTTATCCAAAGAATATAAATTTTGATCTTTATGGTTATTGTGATGCTGACTTTGCCGGATGCAAAGTAGACCGCATGAGTGCTAGTGGCACATGTCATTTCTTAGGCAATTCACTTGTTTCTTGGTCTTCCAAGAAACAAAATTGTGTTGCCTTATCCACTACGAAAGCGGAATACATTACCGCCGGCTTATATTGTGCACAATTATTATGGATGAAACAAAATTTAGTTGACTTTGATTTACATTTTCATGATATAAAGATATTTTGTGATAATACTAGTGCAATAAATATTTTAAAAAACTCCGTTTTACATACTAGAACCAAGCACATAGATATTTGCCACCATTTCTTACGTGATCATGTAGAGAGGAAAGATGTATTCCTTATTATATTAATACTAAATCACAATTAGCAGATATCTTTACCAAACCTCTTAGTGAAGAAAATTTTTGTCGTATAAGAAATGAGTTAGGCATGTGCATCCTTTGATTGTTTGTTTTGATGATTTTTTGCTTGCTCTTGGTTTTTGGTTTAACATTTTCATATCTTAATATTTTATTCACACTCATTGTCATAACATGTTTGAATGCACAAAGATACTTAGAGGAGTGGTTGGGAGAGACCGGGGTAAATTTTAAGAGGAGTGGGTTGGTAGTAAAGCCTAGGGAGAGGTAGTAAATCCAAACACTTGAGGAATGTGACACGGGTAGGCCAACACTTAAAGAAGTATCTTGTGGGTTTTACAACATGTATATTATTTTTTACCCCATTTTGATGTTGACAAAGGGGAAGAAATATCTCTTCTTTGTGCACATAGATAGGGGGAGAGTCTTATAGATAGGGGAAGCAACTATGTATAAGTAGAAATTTTATTTTATTTTGGCTCCTTTATAATGGTTGTTTGTCATCATCAAAAAAAGGAAGATTGTTAGATCTCTTATTTTGATGATGATTTACAAACCCCATTACAGGTACTAATTGCTTGTTAAGTGATATAATACATGAAGTATTTTGTCAAGCAATTTAGTGCCACAATTGGAGGATGGATAGAACTTGCACCATAACGATGATGTCCAAGGAGATGGAGGAAAGTTGGTGAAGAAAAGCTATTTAAAGAGCAACATATATAAGAGGAGCTTCATCAACAAAATTAGCAAATATCGAGCCTCAAGAGTTGTATACATATGTGAGCAATATTTGTATTTTTTACTTTCTCTCTAGCTCATAATGTAGGTAAGAAACAAAGTAGATAACATTTGAAGCAATTGGGGTTCACACACACACACACACTTTTAAAATCATTTTTTTGACCAATTTTGAAAAATGATAAGCTTTTACCTTTGGGAAATGATTTTTTTAAAACTTTTCTAACATGTCTATATTCATGTTTATAAACATTTCCCTAAATTTTATATTTTTTAGAATTTATTTGATATTTTTAAAATGGGTTCAAAGTTCATTTTTATTGTTCATAACTGACCATGTGCACGTTATCAGTCGACTGATAAATAGTATCAGTCGACTGATGAAACACACTAGAATAGCAGAAAGTTTCTACTCAATCGACTGATGAACCATCGGTCGATCGATGCAGGTTATTAGTCGACTGATGATTTTATTAGTCGACCGATAGCAGATGAGCGGCCTATAACGGTCAACTCATCAGTCGACTGATGAACAATATTAGTCGGTTGATGGCACTGTAATGACTAGTTTTGGTTTCAGCTGATTTTTTAGGATTTTGGATTTTGTTTGGAATTTGGGCTATTGTTTGGGGTTTCTATATATATCTCTTTACCCTCTTCACTTCAGTAACTAAGCAAGCAAGAAAAATTCTTTGAGTTTGTGTTTATTGTGTGTTTTGAGCTTAAACTCTCATCAGTAACTAAGCAAGCAAGAAAAATTCTTTGAGTTTGTGTTTATTGTGTGTTTTGAGCTTAAACTCTCATTCTTCTCAATTTTGGATTTACACCTTCTTTGAGTTTGTGTTTATTGTGTGTTTTGAGCTTAAACTCTCATTCTTCTCAATTTTGGATTTACACCTTCGATACCCACAACCCCAAGCTTCATTTGTAATCTCTTAATCCTTGCCATAGGGGTGTTGTAAGAGAGATTTTTTTTATCTTATTCTACTATGTGGATAGCTTTATCTCGAGGAGATCAAATTGTGTAGTTATGAGATCTCGGGGAAGATCGCTGTGAAGAAGTTTCGGCTTCTAAACCGGGTGTGTTTAGTGAATTACCATCAGGAGAGGTGGTTGGGGACGTAGATCGTGAGGACCGAACCTCATGAACACATCGGCGTGCAATTTGGCTTAGTATTCTCTTACTCTCTCTCTCTCTCTCTCTCTCTCTTATTTATTGTCATTGTTTTATATTTGTGTCTTGTGTTGCATTAAATTTCATAAATTGTACATTTATTGTTTGATTACCCTATTCACCTCCCTCTAGGGTAATTTCAAGAACAACTTCTTATGTACTAAGTTTTCTGCTAATGCAATGCAAATATTTTATACTAATTTCCTTTTCATTTTGATTATGTTGCCAATTAAGGTAACTAATCCCCAAGGCCTATCATAAGAAAGTTGATCTTTCCTACGATTCTAGCAATTTGTTTAGAAAACCATTTTTAGTTCTCAACGTCTTCGACAAGATAACTGACTAGTTATGAAGCCGAATGATTTTATCACAAATTCAATCTTGTCATATATTTGATTAGGATGCAACAAAGCTTCACCGGATTTGGACTAAAGAGAAAATGGAGTCTGGATATTTTCTAATTTGATCTTGACAATATAACCATGACACATGAAACACTAATCTAAAGAAGTAAAAGTTAAGAAAATAGTTACCCTCAATTTCACAGGAATTGGGTAATTGAGAGCTGGGCATATCAACAAACACTTGGTGGGCATACAAAACACACAAGTGAAAGTAATAAGCATAACGAATCTGATGTAGTTTGAAGAATTGAAAGACACTCATTTGTAGGAAAAAGAACGGGCCTTGAGGATGATTTTGCGTAGTCTGCAATGAGAGAGAAATTAATTAGAAATGGAAATAGAAATAGGATGATGAAGTGCGACTTGGGGTCGATACTGGTCTCCTAGCCAAGGCTACAGACGTCAAGCTTACAGTCAGTGGGGGTCCTTGTCGGAGTGAAGACGATGACAAGCTTCCTTATTCTGGCCGTAGGGGGTGACAACGGAGCGAAGACAATCAAGGAGCGTCGACGAAGATGAATCAAACTTGTAGGGGTCGACAACGGCCAACTTGCGGTGTCGGCGGTCGGGATCCTCGTTGGTGGCAGCGGAGGAGTGGGATCTTGAGAAGAAGAGGGATCTTGAGAAGAAGAGGGTGATAGGAAAAAGTAGTTGCAGAGGATGTGGTTTTTTTTAATTTTAAATGGGAAGGGTAATCTTGGAATAGCTTTGTTGGATAGTGGCTTTCTGCATTATTGGGGAGATAGTTACACTAAAGTTTCAGTTCAAGGTCTAGGGAGCATGAATTTTTTGACAGGGGAGGAGGATGCATGGCATTAGTTTCGGAAGTTCGTCAAAACAACTTTTTTTCTTTATTATTATTTTTATTTTTTTGTGTCCTCGATGAAAATCGTGCATACGCGTTAACAGTAAAGTAGCTCACCCGTCTCATCCTTGCCGGCGGCAACTAGGTCGGAAACCTCTGATTATTGGTTTTCTCCTCCTCCTATGGAGGAAGCTCGAACTTGATGCGGATGGAAGCTTAATTTAGCAAGGCTGCTTGTGAATCAAGCGTCAAGGGAGCGATCCGAGATCAACCGGCCGGTGTTGTTCCCGGAGCCTTCTCCATCCCAGGTGTGGGCGGAACGTCTACAAAGCACCTAGAATTTATTGGTCGTGTTGCATGGTCTTTGATTTGTGCGGAAGAGTTGTCTCATTATTCATAAGATTAACAAGATTAATTGTACGGTCTGCATGGGGGTGAGCAAAATCTACTGAGGACCCCGAGTAATGAGCTTCACCCACTAGAAGACATTGTTTTCTAAGGTTCAAAGCAGTCAGTCCGTCAGGTTGATCTTTTGGCTGTCGTCTGACATTAGCTAGATTTGCACTTGAGAGCGTTCAAGAGTTTTTATCTTCTTTTATTTCCCCGCTGGACATTTTAGCCTAGATATTTTTAGGCTGCCTCCTGTTTGCGAAGGGTCCTATATTCAAAAAAATAAAAATAAAAATTAAAAAAAAAAAAGCTCTGGTACTCCCATTGTTTATCATTTTTTCTATCAAAAATTGCATCAATCATCTACAAACGTAGACGCGCCGATAGGACAAATTTTCAAAACCAACCTATTTGGACTTTTATTCCCAAAAAAAGACCCGTTTCACATTTATTTAGAAAAACCGACCTGGTTTCAGCCTCAGCGCTGAAACCAGGTCGGTTTTTGAAAAAAACTCTCCGAAACTTCACGGGAGTTGAACTCCCGTGAAGTTTTTTGAACTACGAAACTTCACGGGAGTTCAACTCCCGTGAAGTTTCGGAGAGTTTTTTTCAAAAACCGACCTGGTTTCAGTACTGAAGCTGAAACCAGGTCGGTTTTTGCAATTATTTTTGAATGGGGTCGTTTTTTGGGAATAAAAGTCCAAATAGGTTGGTTTAGAAAATTTGTCCCGCGCCGATATCATAAACTAATTATGTACTTGATGCATATAACCAAAGCCATAATCGTAAGTCCAAATAGAATAGAATTACAAAATTTTACGCTAAAAGGCTTCATGAGCTTTCAATTCCAATCTAATTTAAATCCATTTTCTAATATAAAAGAAAAACCTACACACTAGAAACCATAGGATAATTTGTTCACTGAAAGTCTTCAAACGATGAAAATGAGCAGATAAAACAAACGTAATTCATACAATTTGCAGCATATGGCTGTATCTCACGAAATCAAGGGCTCAAGGAAGCTTCTCGCAGTATTTTTTTACATGACCGTTTCTCTTCCCATACATATAATGTGTCAATCATCACACATGATCCAAATAGCATTATCTCAACTCTGCAAACAAATCGACCTTCATTTATGTAGGCCTTTCTTTCTTCTTCTATTTTTTCCCAAAGTCAATCAATCATAAGTTCCAGTTTGTATAAACTGTTTATACAATTTCTAGATACATGAATACAGTTTATACAAAGGGAGGAGAGCAAACAATACTTGCTACTTATCAAACCCACTGGAATTGCACCATGAGCGTATCGAGAACCCTGCCTCCATGGCATGCTTCAAATAACCTCAACTTTTCTGCAAGTAATTTGACTGCAGAAAAGGTTCTGTAGTTATAAGATGAATCAGAAGAAATATTAATCTTGTCAATTACTGACGAGGCTTGACTGGGGAAAAACCATGGCCCCCTCTTGGCCAACTAGTGAAAGCTGCTCCTGCAACGAGCAACCAGAGTAGCTGCGGGGAAAAACATGAGGGGAAAAAAACTTTATTTCTTATCAACATGAGGAAATAAGGATGCATGATAATCGTGCAAGAACCTACGATGTTGTCAAAAATGGTCACATCGTGCAAAAAGTTTTTGTATGAACCAGCATTGGGTGAGCACAGGAGAGAGCTGATTACTCGAGACATACAATACCTTCTGCATAGCACAAAAATATTTTAGCACAAGTGTTTTTTTTCTTTCTTCCTTTTTTTTTTTTTGAGATAGGATATGAACATGAAGCATCACAAAAGGAAAGGGAAAAACATTACCAGTTGTTAGCATATCTCACACAATTCTTTAATTTCTGGGTGGATTTGTCTCAAATGCTAAGGGCATCATATGCACTTGATGGATCAATTTAGAAGAATTGGCAATATTTCAGTGAAGCAGATATCGCCAAAACCGGTGTGATGTAAACTCAATAACAAATGAAGCGAGAAATGTAAAAAGAATATAGTCTCTAGCTCCCTTCAAAGGGGTCTTCAACAACCCAATGGATATCCTGCTTCAAACAAAAACAAGGTAGGATCAAATTTAGTATCATCAGCCTGAGACATAAAACAGTGAATAAGTAGTTTTTTATTATGAATACAAATATTAGAAGACTAGATACCATTTGTGCCCGAGTATGATACTAGTCTTCATGCTTTATAGATCATAACCCACACAAAGAAAAAAAGGAGAGGTGTGGTTAAGAATGCCTCACATTTTTTTCCTACCCCAGAAAAAATTAAAGGGTTATTCACTTATCTTTCCTATGAATCCAAAACAATTTTTTTAACAAATAGACCACCTGAGGGTAAAATAGTCAAATAAAGTTCAATAATGGGTCTATCTGCTGCATTAGAATTTAGAACTACTAGGGTTGCACTTGGGCAATAGTACAGGGGGTCTATCTGCAACTAACCCGCCTGAAGCTATACGTGATAGAAAGAATTTCCATTGAGAATTCCTAAAACAAAATGCATATTTTCCTCCAAGCATGCATATTAACAACCAACAGAAGTGAGTGAAGCCTGACAAAAGGTTTATATTTCAGACACCTAGGCGCATGCAAGCTTGATGATACTTTTTTACTTCATTAACCAATCATTGATACTTTTTGACTTAATTAACCAATCATGCTTGTACTGACTTTTAAGAAACAGTTGTCTCTGATAATCCTTAGCAATTGTTAACATCTTTGTGAAATCTATTGCTGCTAGAATTCGAAGGAATGTGAACTAGGTTTCCCTTGTTCCTAAAAAGAAAGCTCACACTCTATTCTACTGGAGGGTAACCAGACATTAGTTATGACCAGAGGTGGACAAGAATGGAGTTGGAGACGGGGTGCGAAAATCTTACTTCACCTTCTAGTAGTAGTAGTGGAACCTAGCGCGAGGATTGAATGGGCGAGTACTTTAGAATAGAACGTTTTGGAGGAGAGGACACGAGGGGGAGGAGAAAGATTCACATACTTTATGATATTACCTATGAACTCTCACTAATTTTGGAGATTCTTAGCACAGTACCCTTGTATATGAGCTGATGAACGACGTAAGTTTTCGTAGTATTGTACGGTGAAGACATCAATCAGAGATATACACCACCAATAGACATCACACCCCAATTCTTATCGTCTAAATCCGATTAACACATATTTTGGTTTGCCAAAAGAAAGACATTATAATCAACTCCACTGCTTTATTTTCGATTCATTCTTTCTGGAGTTTCCCCCTCCTCTCCGCACCCCTCCTGAAGGGGGAAAGAAGAACCACTCATTCTCAGAGTGAGCATCAAATCTTAAAAAGTCAGAATCAAGTTGACTTCTGCAAACCAGAAGTATCACCCAATCTGAGCTGCCATCTAATTCTCTAATTGCTAGAACCTATGTTACCCGGGTACTTCTACCATGAAGCAGCACCCGTACCGGACATGTACCCAACGTGTATCTGTACCCAAACTTCATGGACACTCCTTGGGTATATGCATACATTTATTTAGACATGTACTCAATTAATATAAGTTTTACTTTAAAACACTTGTCATACACTTCTTAGATGCATATGCTACATATCACATCCATTTCTTGAAACTCGTTAGATACGGGTCGGATTTGTTTCAGCTCATATGCAAGTTAAAAACTATAATTTTGAGGGTCGTTTGTGTGTCTAGTTAAAAAACGGCAGTTTCTAACTTATAATAATCAACAAAATGAAATAAACTTAGATTGTTATAGGAATTTTAATTCTAATAACACATAAATCGAAAAACAGTAATGATCTAATGTAAATTATTAATTTCAATATATGTTGTTGTGCCCCCCATCCCTACATTTTACAAATTTTCCATGTCCCGTACCCGCACCACCACCGGTACCCATACCCGTTTCCATGCAACTTAGGCTAAAACTAAGACTAAACACAGACAAAACCAAAAAAGAGATCCAAAGAATGATAGAATATAAAGTCCTTCATCTTAAACTGAAGAAAGAATATCAAAATACTGGAATTGACCAAATACTATTAGCTTAGAGTTCATAAATATAGCTTGTTCATTTTCATTACTGTTTATTTAATTTATTCTTCAAGAAAGCAAGAGAGTCAGGCTATCATACTACTGTAAATGCAAAAGAATAATTTATTGTAAGGTGAGAGGTACTAACCATATGGTGTATGCTGTAAGAAATTTCAAGTGCTTCATCCCACTTGTTCATCCTTAGAAGTCCTCTAATGAGGTAAAACAGGAGGGGGAATTCTGGAACAAGACCTTTTCTTATCATCTCAGCATAAAGTTCAAATCCTTTATCAGCCTTGGATGTTAAACACAGGCTTTCTATCAAAGAAGAATATATATTCTTGCTGATAACCGGTGAACATGATGATGTACTAGTTATCTCCTTGTGCAACTCCAAGGCTTTGTCCAGTCTGCCCGCTTTATAAAAGCTATCAATTAAAAGTCTATAAGCAGGAGCTATCGGCACTGAACTGTATTCTGTTATCTCTTCCAAAAGCC